TTTGTAGCGTAATATTTAGTTGTGGTTCTATCATTATAAACCATATATGAATCATTTAATCGAAGGTAGCTTAACATCAGCAACAATATTAAAATCTACGACTGACGTTGAAAAAATGTTTGCAAATTTAATTGAAACGTAAAAATCGAAAATAAATAAAACGTGCTCGCAATTATAGTCAATGTAAAGTGATAGGTTACTGAGTTTTTCAAAGAATAAATTTTATCGTTTCAATATTTAAAACAATTTTGATATTTATGTAAGTTTTCTGTTCATTGCCAGCGAGATGAAATCGAGGAACGTAAATTTTTTGCAATTTCAACTTTCTTTTTGACCGATTTCTCTGCAATTTGAGTACTTCTAAAGAACCAATCAAACTCATACTGGTCAAGATACTATCTTCAGCAATCATGGAGTTTACATTATTTAGGTCTTTCATGTATAACATATGAGTACATTAATTGCTATTCTTTTATTGTGGTTATTAGTTTGTGATCTTCTTCTATTTGTGAGAATTTATTGCAATGACTTAACGCTGATAAAGTTTAAATTAATAAATATATGAAATATTAAATATTAGTAAATATTTTGGCTTGCATATAATACATGATATGAAAAGAAAAGTATATCAATCTTACTCAGACGGCTTAGCTGCTGCTAATAAGTCTAACACCAGTTAATATTGTGTTAATGATATGCATGCTACTGTGATCAGTGACATTGTAGTCTCTAATGACGCTTCTTTACAGTGTACTTAAGTACATTTAATTACATTGAATATAAATAATTAAGTTGTCAGTCTACTACAGAAATAAATGCATTGAATCTATTCATCTATTTTATACGCCTAGGAATATTGAGCAACAAAATATATTTTCGGTGCATTGTATTCTAAATGAGATACCGTTGAAGTTATAAATAATTCATCATCAATCATTAAAAGCTCATTTTTCATAAATTAACATATTGTCGCTACAATTCATTAGATTATTCATCGAAAACGTCATACCGTATTTAAATGAATGCCAAATTTCTGTTTATGAAAGAAAACATTTTCAAATAATGCTATAAACATTATTAGTATTTTGAACAAAGTTCTTTTCAGCATACACAGAGTCATTGAATAAAATTTAGCGACGAAAATATTAAATTTTTTCTACCAAGGAAAGGTCCCCAGGTGTGTCGCTGAGATTTCAATGAAAATGATGTGGATTTGTTAAGTCAGGTATACCTATCTCAGGTGTGAAACAATTAGGTGCTTAGGCTGCGTCAGTAAAAAATTATAGGCGAAATAGCTTTCAAAAATTTGACACATACTTCGCTAACAAGTTTTTTTTTTCTTATGAATTTTTTCCTTCATTTTATACATGGCAAATAGTTCTACATGATAGTCTTTGTTGTTTGCCTTGCCACGAATGATTGAAGAGAAAAGATCAACTGAATATCTGATGTATATCCAGAAGTATGACTCTGTTTTCGCAAAATACTCTCTTCTTTTTGGAGATGTCCCGTTTCATAATAGGCAAACCATTACCATTTGTTTTGAAACGGATTGATTTAAAAACTAAACCATTTTTCATATGAATGGGGATAATGCATTACCTGTTTCACAAAAAGCAAGATGTTTTTTGATTAATGTTTATGATCATTTACAAAAAGTGGTTGAAGCAAAGAATACGATGACAATGGCTGCAGAAAATGAAAGAAAAGTCATTGCACGCTGTCATAGAACACAAACCATCGTTGAAAGAAAAAACATACATTATATACATTCGCAAAATGACCAGGATCTTGCGAGATATAGTCACTTGAATACGAAGCATAGTTGATTAAAGGTGAGAATCTTTTAGTTGCCAGTTGATTATGTATCAAAGAATGAATTTTTAAAATGCAGCCTCTAGAACAGATATCAATGTCCATTTGATCAATGACTACGTGATCATAAATTTTCTGTTTAAAATAGTTCCATTGTTGAAAAAAATAAAGATTCAACGGTTGAATATCACTGGTTGTTTTCGATGGAATTTGTATTTGCTTACAAGTGATATTTCCAATGAAAATATCATCAAAAATGCTAGAGACAGACTGACCAGATGAAGAGTCTAGCAGCAGTAAACAATCTTCGAAAATCGATGAACTTAAAACATTTTCAGCCCAATACTGAATATGTGTTATAGTTAATTTTCCAAACTTGCTGCATACAACATAAATATTGCTCGCTTGATAAATTGATTGCTTCACATTTGGTTCGAGTTTCCTTTAGGCTCTTGTAAACATATAAAAACCGGACCAATTAATTTTCCAGTCATACTAATTATCGGTATAATCGTATATGAATGAGTAACAGCATTCATTGACTTGACCTGGTCTTTGATTATTTTTTTACCGGTTGTTGCTAGCATCCGTGTAGATGTATTGTCAAAACGGAGAGGTCAAAAAATATTATTTTCTATTTCATTTCCTTCCATTCGTGAATACTGTACCTGAAACTGCTTTGATCGCTGTTCAATATATGATCTTCAATATAATCTGGAATGGTATTTCTTACTGCTTGGACAAAATTTTCAGCAGATTTCAATATTGTATCTCAGTCTTTCCAATGATTTTTTGTTACCAGCTTTGTCATTTTTCTTGATAAAATAGGGTGACGACGTTTGAAGTTTAATATCTAATGATGACACGTCGTAAAATCAACAATATTTAAATCCTGTGCTGTTCTGATAGCCAAGCGTCTTAAATCAGAATCATATATTGGTATAAACAGCACTCTCACGTACGAATAAATCCCGTATAGACAAAGTCATCGACACATTAGAGTTTTTGTATCTTGAGCATTAATTTATTGCTTCATTCGACGTAACTGTTCCTTGTGTTTTATGTGTCTATATCGCCTACGTAATGTGAAGAAAGTATGGATTTTTGAAAATTCGACAATACCACACATTGTGTCAAAGGAATATTTTATACCATCACAACGTTCAATGCAACATCATTTTTATCTTCCTCTTGATAATCATCACTGCAATCGTCATATTCATCGAAATTCAATGTTACAATATAGTGGACTAGCAGTTCTGTTCAAGTTAATAGTTGATTAAACAACAGAAACAATTGATCCGCCGTCTCATAATCTTTGGACGATGGTTCGGTTTGAGCAGTTTCTGAATATTTCTGACGCATCAGATCGTCAAACATGTAAAGAGTATTGTTAACATTTATCATATTTATGTTGCAAACACTGTAATATATCACTTTAGAGATCGCGAAGGTTATTACATAGTTTATTTCGACTATCGTGATCTATTTATAGGTCGAAAGAGCAAACGAATACGCGAATACAAGAGAGATGAATATCAGAAAAACAAAGAAATAGTGATTACAGAGATCTGGAGAAGAAAACATGAACATACGGAGATACAGAAGACATATAGTTAGTATACGAGATCCAGGGTAATATAAAGAAAACACAGAGAACACACAAATCGAACGAGATATATAACACTTAGAGAGCAAATACACTAGAGTTTTTAAAAAATTCATAAGAAAAAACACTTGTATAGCGAAACAAACGTGTCAAATTTTTGAAAACTGTTTCGCCTATAATTTTTTTACTGACGTAGTCTAAGCACCTAATTGTTTTACATCTGAGATAAGTATACGTGACTTAACAAACCCACATCATTTTCATTGGAATTTTCGGGACATATCTGGAGACCTTCCCTTGCAAGACTTTATCATCAGGTTGTTTTCAGACAATTATATGAACACTGTGTATTAGTCCATTATCTCCATCGTCATTATCTCATATTATAAAAGTATCCGAAATCTATGATTAGGTACTGTGTGATGGTATATAATCAAAATTTCTCATTAAGTTCATTCAATACCATTGAGTAGTCCACAGAAGAATGATTCTGCGAACTTTATCATCGACATCATATTTTGTTTTAGGTACATATTATTTAGAATTCCTTCGCTGTTATAGTTAAGATGCTCGCGATGTTTTCGAGCTGCTTCATGTATCAATAAATAGCTTGCGTTGACTTTTGTATAATGCTATAAGATGCAATTATTGAAAAGATCGAGTTGCTATGCTTTACCGTCGTTAATATTGGACAGGTTTTTTGAAATACTATTGGTGCATTTTGCTTTCGTTAAACGGTCTGGATTACTTTACTGTTGTCCAGGCTGTCACGAATTTACTCCGTTTAGTCTGTTGTTTATCTTCAGCTCAGATGAAATCATTTGTTGTGTAACCAAGACGGACACGACAGTCTTGCGTGAATCCTCAGGCATATGCGAACCTCTGTTAGAGCTTTGAGGAGCGTGTGGTATATCATTGCGAATTCTTGAAAAGCACTACTAAAACATGAAGCTCCAATCAAACGTTCTTTTCATGCTCATGAAGTTATTGAGTATCTTGAGCGAGAAAGTCATGTTATATGAACACATCTTCAGACAAAACTTGAGGCTTTTTATCAAGCTAAAATCTTTGACCATTGATTAGGCACTAATTAAACAATAAATTCCAACACAAAGATACTTATAAGACTACGTTACAGTTTTAAAGTGCATTTTATTCATTCTTAATTTTCTGTTATTTAAAAGTTGCTAGCTGTTACAAAAATAATAGATGAAAGAATAATAAGCAAAGAACAAATTTTTATTATTAATTTGGCATAATTCGTTGAATCAGTGTTGAACTAGAAAAATATTTAAATAAAGACAAAAGAAACTTAATTTTCACTTAAAGAAATCGGGCGACTTTGCAACCGTAATATACGAAGTCTTATTGGTAACTCTCTCCCTCTGTTGACAGCTGAGATATATAATTCATCCAATCCTCATTCAATTGAATCACTTTCGATGATGGAGCGAGTGATGTGGCTCATAGCGCAAAACATGGATAATGACTTTTGACTAAGAAAATTCTTTAAATTTGTTTCCAGTTACATATGAAATTTTAATACTTATTTTCTATCAATTCTAGAGCGTTAATCATGGCTAGCACATCAAGTGATAGCCATAGTATTCTTCAAAAATTGATTAATAACTTATCTAGCGATCTTCGTCAATTATCAACTGAAACCAAAAAAAAATATCCGCCAATTAAAGAAGTATGAATATTCTTCTTGTTAATTTTAATTAATATTAATATATATTTTAGGCAGCGGAAGCATGTAATATGAAATTACGAGAATATAGTACTATGAAAGATAATTTGAGTACAGGTACTATTTAAATATTAAGAATAATACCAAACTTTGATATATATGTATATGTATTATAGTAATGCGTGATGCAAGTGTCGATTTACTTCAACCATTTGTCTTAGGGTGTGATACTAAACAAGTTAAAATTGTTCAATTATGTTTAACGTCAATACAAAAATTACTTCAACATCATATTGTTAATCAAGTTCGCATGAAAGAAAAAGTGTCTTTCAATTTATTTATTGATTATTAATTTAGGCATCTGCAGCTACAATTGTTAATGTTTTAAGTACTTTATGTGAATTACAAACTGAAGAATTAAAAATTTTACAAACTGTTCTATTACTCGTTAATACAACATCTGTCGTTGTGCATAGTACACTTGCTACGGTAAAATAAATAGATGAATATGAATTAATATTTATTTTGAATTCATTCATTTACATAGTTATTTGTTATTACTTTTCGATTATGCTTCAGTAAAGATCCAACAATTGTAAATACTTCTATAGCTGCTGTTCGGCAACTTGTTACAGCTGTTTATGATCGTGTTATTGAAGAAGATGCTCAAAATCCAACATCCAGTGGTAAGAAATATTTGCTTTATAAAAAAAACCTAATTGATTCATAGAAAAAAAAAATGTCTGCCATTTTTTAAAGTAATAAAGTTATACTATATAGAAAAACGAAAAAATTGTCTACATTTTCAGTATTATTAATTTTTTTTTCATTTTTAGTAGATATTGCACTTACGAACGATATTGATATTCGTCTAAAAATATTCATTGTATATTTTTAATAATGAAAATTCGTATTCATTAATATATGTTTCTTTATAGATGTTACAACAGTCCATTTGCTCTGAAAAAATTTCTTAATTTAAAGTTTCTATTCTGTCAACTTTTCATGGCAATTATTTAGCAGTTGAGATTAAGAGGACCTTGCCTCTTTTCGTATATTAAAAGTCATAGCTTTTGTTTTTCGTAGCTAATACAGCTTAGTGAGTGTCCTCTGTCAACTACCATATGAATGAGGATGCTTGTTGTTAGTTGGTACTTTTGATAAATTCAATTCTCGAAACTCATAACAAGCAAAACACGCACAGCATTTTTTCTTTCTATGCAAAATTTCCCTGATCAAAATGAGTATTTTTTATTTCCAAGGCACTAAAAACATAAATGATGGATCTTTAACAGAGACAGTTCTTGATAACTTTAGTTAAAGAGAAAAAGTATAGAATCGCTCTCGTTTTTCTGACATTGTACATTCGAACGAGTTGACACTTTTCTACAGTTATTGAACATTATGGGGGCTGTCTATTTTTTTTTGTGTTGAGGAATACTGCGTCGCTGTTTTTTTTTGGCAGATTTTAAAAGATGACCTTTCATTAAAAAAACATGTAATTTTCGAGGTACACTCAGTATTTCCGCCTTTTTATTCGAATGGAAGGAAATAAAATGAAACCAAAAAAAAAACTCGACACCTCAAATAGTATCTAGTATTTGTGAAAGAAGACTCCATTGCTATCGTACTGGTTGCGACCGAGATATTTTCTATAAGTCAATATTTTGGGAAATAGGAGTCAATGACAACGTTTTCTTTAGCCATGATTACAATCAAAAATTAACTATATCATTTTATTTCATTGATTTAGATCAGTCTAATAAGGATTCTGATCCTTCAAAACAACAACATCCATCAAATAGTGTTGATACATTACGTCCATATGCTCGTGATGCATATTTATTATTTCAAGATCTTTGTTATTTAATAAATGGTGATCAACCAATATGGTTAATTGGTTTAACAGAAATAACTCGAACATTAATTCTTGAATTAATTGAAACAATTTTAACACATTATGCATCTATATTTCATAGTCATAGTGAATTTCGTTATTTATTAAAAGAAAGAGTTTCTCCACTTGTTATTAAATTATTTTCACCAGGTACGAAATTTTCAAATCCTAATTCAAACTTATCAAGTGGAACTAATTCTAATACAACATATGATAGTGCATATTTTCCACTAATAGCTCGTCTCTTACGTGTTGTTTGTATATTAATACGATTTTATTTTACATTATTAATAACTGAATGTGAAATATTTTTATCATTATTAATTAAATTACTTGAACCCGATAAACCTGTATGGCAAAGATCATTAGCTATTGAATGTATACATAAAATAATAATACATCAAAATTTAATCAAATTATTTTGTTTATCTTATGATATGCAGCCACATTCAAGTAAAATTTTAAGAGATTTAACAAATGCAATTAGGTTTGATTAATTAATTAAGAGAAAATATTAAAATAATGTTTTTCTTTTTTCTTTTTTTTTAGTTCATATGTTCAATCATTTTTTAATAGTGCAACTGTTTCATCAAATTCATCAACTAGCAGTGGACAAACAAATACAACTAGTACAGTTATTTCAGATAAAAAATGTAATACTCTATTTAATTCAATAAGATACAAACTTTCTAGTTTTTTTTTCAGCTTCTGGAACTAGTACAACTTCAAAATTAGATAACTATAATCCTCATTCATCAAATATTGCAAATGGTGTTGCTAGTCCATCGAATACCATTCTTTTTGCATATCGAAATTTAGTTGTTCCACAATATGTAACATATACTCAAGGTCAAGCAAAAGCTGTCTATGTTGAAAATTGGGAAAAATTTGATTGTCCACTTATACCGGATTCATATGGAATAGTTGTTGCTTATGCATGTATGCTTGAACTTGTTCGAGCTGTTCATTCAATTGTTGAAGGTACAGGTATGCGTGGTGATACAATATCTGGTACACAATTACGTACACCAATACAAATTCGACCATTAGAATCTTTAACAGATAATGAACGACATGAATGTATTGAAGTTGTTAATTGTACATGGTCAAGTGTACTTGTTACATTTACATTATTATATGATGTTTGTTATGATGATACAACATGTGAATTACTTTTACGAGGTTTTCAAACATATATATCATTATGTGGTTTACTTGGAATGAATGTTCAACGTGATGCATTTGTTACATGTTTATGTAAAATGGCATTACCACCACAATATAATATTCATCTATTAAGTAAACAACAAAATAGTGAACAACAACAACAACAACAAAGTTTATTACAGAAATTAGCAGCTAGATCAAGTGCAGATTCAACACCAGGAAGTGATTTTGAAAGACAACAAGTTGTAATTGTTGGAACACCTTTACCATTATTAAATTCATCACCAGCAACAAATCAAACTGCTGTTATGGTATGAATAGTGACACAGTTTCTCATTAACATAAAATTGATATAGGAGTTTTTCTTGTTGAAAAAAAAACTTGGAGAGTAGAGGTGTAAGCCAATAGGCTGAATCATCGTCAACACTCAAGCGGTTCAGGCGCGCTGTTACAACATAAAAAATTGATTTTTAAAAACTTCCAACGTTTGAAATCAGATTTTGGGAAGTGTTACAGTCTAATTTTTCATCAATTAATTTCCGGCCATCGTTGTCTCTATTTACCATTTCCAAATTCTCGAAAAATTGAGACAATTTTTTAAAAAGTGATCGACAAATTTCAGTCGCTATCGCCACCAAATTCTGAGACTTTTGTAACCGTAGACAGTAGAAGAAGTTAGGACAAATGCAGCAACTGTTCCGTCGATCAATACATCGACTTACATCTTTAGTCAAAAGAGAACAAACTTATTTCTATTCTAGCAATCATAGAAGATCATTGAAAATCGTAAATAAAATCTCTAGCAACAAGAATAAAAATTGATTTTTTTTGGTTTTCTATAAGTTCCAATATTCTTTGGAGTTAAACTCGATCTCTAGTGAATTTCCTTCACTTCTAAGCATTTCCCATGATTCCTATCGATTCATAGTGAATAAATAAAAAAATAATTTCGAGTAATTGGAATATAAAAAGAAAAACGTTGTTCTCTTCTTGCTTCGACTCGAGAATAAACGCCTCTCACAATAATTAGATTTTATATTAATACGATTAAATTTAGTTGACGTCAAAAAATATTCATTGCATGCGAACAATTCTATCAGTTGCTCATTGTTATGGAAGTATACTTGGTACATCCTGGCATTTAATTTTAACAACTCTTCAACATCTTGTTTGGATAATTGGATTTAAACCATCAACTGGTGGTACACTTAAACATGTTGGAACAATATCTAATACAGATGCAGCACCAATGGCAAATTCATCAGCGGTTGTAACAACAGCAGCTATGGCTGATTTACCAATATTATCATCAATGCTTTCACGTTTATTTGAATCAAGTGTTTATTTAGATGATGTTGCATTACATCATTTAATCGATGCACTTATACGTTTAAGTATTGAATCAATGGAAATTGCTTTATCTGTTCGTGAACCATCACTATTTGCTATTGCAAAAATACTGGAAACTGGTAGAGCAAATTTAAATCGTATTGATGTTTGGTGGAAACCTATTTCATCACATTTACTTGATGTATGACAAAAAAATCAATACAATTTGTTTGTTTATATTATGTAATTTTCTTTTATTAAAGGTTTGTCAACATACAAATCCACGTATGCGTGAATGGGGTACAGAAGCATTAACATCACTTGTACGTAATGCACTTGAATATAAATATGAACAAAATTTATTTGATAATGAACGTTTATTACATATGATTATTTTATCATTACATGAATTATCATTAATACAATATTTTGATGTACGTCAAAAACAACTTGAAGCTACTCTATCAATATTAACTAATAATGGACCTACATTACAAACAGGATGGCCAATAATGTAAGTTGATCAAAAACTGAAATTTACAAAAATCAATAATAAAAAATTTTTTAATTTTAATTTATTTATTTAAGTTTAAATATAATTGGTTCAATAACTCGTGAACATAATGATTCTTTAATACGGCAAGCTCAACAATGTTTACAATTAGTTGTAACAGATTTTTTATCAACAATTCCAATATGTTATTTAGGTATATTAATAAAAGTAGTGGCAAAATTTGGTTTTCAAGAACAAGATTTAAATATAGCTTTATCAGCTATTGGTCTTTTATGGAATATGACTGATTATTTATTTCGTATGAAAGAACAAGAACATCAATTAAAAAATGTTAATGATTATTTAGATCCAAATGAAATTTATGATACATTAACATCAATTGAAGAATTATGGATGATTTTATATAGAAAATTAAGTGAATTAACTATGGATCAACGTCCAGCTATAAGAAAATCAGCATCATCAACATTATTTACAATGATAACATCACATGGACAATTATTAAGTACAGGTGCATGGAGTATTTTAATTTGGCAAGTTTTATTTCCATTATTTGAACAAGTTGAACAATTTTTTTATACGGCATCAAAAGAACGAGAACAATTACAACAACAACAATTATCAAAATCATCAGGTGGACAAGATATTTTAATGCATCATTCGAGAGATACACCAGAAAAACAATGGGCTGAAACATATGTAATGATATTAGCAGGTGTTACAAGAACAGTTCAAGTGAAAAAAGATTTTCTAGCTAAATTGGGTAAATATTATTCATTGATTTAGCTGAATATGGGTGTGATTAATCAAGATCTTTATATGATCAATTAGAAGACAAAAATAGATGATTTGAATCATATGTCCGATAGCATACCTGTCCATTTTGGTAATGTTTTCTGGACATTAAGAAAAAAAAAAAGAATTTTGTCTTAAACCATCATTTTGTTCAAAATTATACTTTGATATTTTATAACTAGTGACTATGCTTAGGCCTTGCAGGAAAAGTATTAAGCTTCTAATCAATTGATTAACTTATAACCAACATAGGAAATTGATATAAACTGCTTAAGAATAAAATCTCAGTTATCTTTCCACTATTATACTTTAATATTTCATATTTAAGAAGTGTTTTTTGCTGACAATCGTTTACTCAATGAATACAAAGATGACTGAAGATTTAACATCTGATTTTGTTTGTTTCATTTTATTAAGGATTTTATTAATCTGTTAATTTCGAATAGAGTTTTAAACTTCATCAGTGAACGAAAAATGGAAGCAACAGTTACTCCTATGTTAACTGAAACAGACAGAAGCACTCATAGAGCCTGTTTGATTCAAAATTTTCGAACTCCAACTCGATTAATAGAAAAATTTCAGACCATGCTTTAACCGGGTCCGATACAAGTCCCGGGCTAACCCGTTTGGCTCTAAGCAAGGATGCAGATGTGACAATAGGCAAAATCAATGTCCTCAGATATAAAACTTTTCCTTAAAAAATATTTTTTTCCGTTGTAACTTGAGGCTAATCTTTTGTCTTCATAAAAACATGCAAAAGTCAATTAAATATTTTTTTTTTGTTTTAGACGATTTTCCTAAAGTTTGGAGTGTTCTCTTGACAAATATTGAAAAATCTGCCTTAGCTAAAAATCCCGAAATAGCTCTTGCTGCATTAAAAAGTTTCAATGATCTTGTTAATATACCAATAAATCCTGCATTATCTCCATCATCAAAAAAACCTTTAATACCTCGTGATCAACAACTATGGCAACAAGCTTGGCAAGTTTGGTTAAATATTGGTAATGGTTGTAGTCGTTGTCCACCTGAACGTGTTATAATAATTGATCGTTATGATTCTAATATACCATCACAAAATTTTCTTACATTTTTTATTGATATATTTCCTAATTTAATTAATCATATATGGTCAAGTGATTTTATTCATAATGCAAAACATTTTGAACAATTTTCAACAATAATTGAACGTGTTCTTGCTGTACCAATACATTCCGATATGGCTTTATTTTTAATTCCAACTGATGTTAATTTAACATTATTACAAGAATCAGCATATAAAGCAATGGAATTTGTTTGTAAAAATTTAAAATTAGAATTAACAAAAACAACAAATGCATCAGCACTTTTACCTATTTGTTTTAAACGTTTACTTGTACTTGTTCTTTATGCAATAAATCCACCAGTATTTGATTGTACAGAACAAATTAAAAAAATTCCAACTAATAAACAACAATCAAATGGAAAAAATGATTCAAATGTTAATTTTGTACCATTTAGTGAAAAAATTCTTCGAATGACTATTAGTTTTTATGAAGATGTTGCTGATAATCCAGCTGTAATTGAAAATGGAACATTACAAACAATAATTCAAGTAAAATTTTTATTTGAGTTTTTGTTTAATATCAATTTTTTTGTTCTTATTCTTTCAATAGACATTACAAGTTCCATTATCAATGAAATATAATTGTCCAAGTTCAACAACTTGGAAATTAGCAATTGAATGTTTTTTTCGTTCACTAAAAGTTGGACTTGTTGTAGCGAGAAAACATCGTAAAGATTTTGTTGTTGAAATTTTTTTTTCGTGTTTATTAATTATTGATTATTAGGAAATGCATTTGAAAGTATGTGGACAGAATTGGCTAAAACATTCGATGATTTTCTTTTTTCAAAAAGGTATTTTATTAATTTTTGATTGAATAAATTTTCATTATTGGAGATTTTAGTATTCCTCCAACGGATATTCCTATTGAAGAACTGCAACGAGATGAAGCAATCGATTGTCAAGTATGTTTAATCTTAAATAAAATTATTGTTATATATATATACTTTATTTTATTATTTTAAAAGGCAATTGAACTAATTCGAGATGATATTTTACCACATGCTAATGTATTGCCAGAAACATTTATAACAAAAATATTAAATATACTTAATCGGGGTTCTATTTATTCATGTGCAACAGATAATTTTATCGGTATGAATTTGAAAAATTTAAAATAAGATCTAATAGATATGTCCAAGGTTATGATGAAAAAAAGCTGTATAAAGTTTTTAATGGAATCTTTGTGAAATTAACTTCGAAAGCACAATGTAGTTGCTCTTACTAATCACAGAAAGATTGTTTTATTCAACATATTGTAAGACATGTATCTTCAACATCCTTTTACTTAGTCCTACAAAAATGTAATAAGGAAGTTGTTCATAAACAGAGTCTTCAAAAAGTCCGAACGAAAAGAAGAACATGAATAGATCCTCAGAAGTCAATATCAGAATAGTTTTAGTAAGGTTCCAAGTGGACTAAGCCAGCATTGTAAAACGATAACTACAGTTCGAATATAGAGAAAAAGACGCTAGTTAAAGTTTGCATTAGTAATATATTTTAGCAATTTTGTGAAGCTGTTACTTTCGAGAAACGACACTGTTATAATTATTGACGAAAAAGGCGATAAAGTTAATAACACTTGTAAAAAAATGAACTCGGATTAAAGCTCACCAGGATCAAATATTAGGTGTATATAGTTTTTCTTTGTAAAACTGTTGAACAAATTATACTTTACATGGCTTTGCTAAGAGATATCTCGTTAGGATCTAATGCATTGTTGTTTTTAGTAATAAGCAAGCTTGTGCAGTAGACTACATACTCGAACTTGACTCATTTTAGCAAGCATTCTTAGCTTCATTGACTTTCTTCAGTCATTACTGTAGGCCCGTCAAAACATGATCGATTGTCAACAGTACTAATTTCACAAAATCACTGGAATGTAGTTGTAATATAAGATTCAGCTAGTGTGTTTTTGCCAAATTTGACTTGCAACCTTCGTTTTACAATGGTAGTTGACTCGAAAGTGATCATCAGTAAAACTATTTTAATTGTGACTTCTGTATGAAAGTCACGACGAATGCTATTATTCATTAAACAAAATGTTCTTGATTTTTACTCAAAATAAAAATAGAAATAAGACGTTTTTATTTTTTCATCTTTATTTTATAATAACAGTGTTTTTTTTTTGTTTCTATATCTACTATTAGATATTGATTCTGCTCGTCGATTACGTGAAGAATTTTCTAAAATATGTTTTGAAACTTTACTCAAATATTCATTCATAAATGATTCATCATCATCAAATGATAATCTTGTTATAACTCGTCTTGCATTAAGTTCAATGTTAAATCGTTGTAAAGAAATTTTACAAAAATATGCACATGATGAACGTCTACATGGCAAATGTCCATTACCACGGTATGAAAACTTCTTGAGGATTTTTTTTTTTATTTTAATTTAAAAGAGAAGATCTTGTTTGTTTCTTTGATAAGTTAAATAGTAAACATAAAAATTATTGAGTGAGGCTTGAATATTGACTTTTTTGCAGTAGTGATAATCTTGAACCAGTTGTTGGAGCATTCAATTACAATCACAACAGCTTAACTCCTTTTTCGTAAGTCTTTTTCTCCCATAAAAAAATATTTAAAAAGCTTTTCTAAAAAAGAAGCTAAGCTAAATACGACTTCATAGCACTATAAATGCATGCTTATATATATATATACACACACATGAAATTTCAATTTGAATTCTCTAGAAAAATTTCTACGCTATTAAAAACAAAGCATAAGAATAAATTATTCACCGTAGTAAATAATCTTTTTTTTTTTAGAGTTTAGAATACTAAAAAAAAAACTAAACATTGGATGGGAATTAATGCATGCTAAAAAGAAAATACTATCAGAGTATAGAATTGAGATAAATATATTAATTTAAATTAGTCTTACATATTGCTCCAATCAGGTGTTTAGTTGCATTGTTCGATGTAAGAATGAAGTGTGTGAGTTAATTTCGATTTTGAATGTATTGCTGTTTGTAGTATCGAACTCATATTGATTATTAATGATATTCTTTTTTTTATAGACCACGCACAGCTGAAATGATTTCTGTACTTAAAGCCTTAAGCACATTGATCGGTGCATTAAAACGAGCACCAAAAGACTCAGGTATGAATTTCTGTATTTAAAAAAAAGAAAAAAAAAAAAAACTAAAATGAACTGATTTCTATGTTTTAGTTGAAATCAATATATGGCATCAATTAATTGCATTATATCCATGTCTTGTTGAATGTACAACATCACCATCTCCACAAATTTGTAATGCAATCAAAGATACATTACATCAATATTTTACACTCTTAACACCACCACCTTCAGTTCGATAAACAACAAAAGAATACAGATGAAAATAAAAAACATAGAAACTGTAGTTTTTTTTTTCTCCGGTTTTATTCGTATGTCTTTGACTAATAAACATATTTTCTATTTGCATGTGTGTATGTGCACAACTGATTGTCTGTACTGTCATCTTGATCTGTTTCTCTCTGTTTTTTTTTTCTTTCTTCGAAATCTCACTTTCGAAACGATGTGCTTCGTTTTTTTTTTCATCTTAACATTTTTCGTTCTTATTCATTCATTTATTTATTTCATCAAATTCTCTAATTTGTTATTATGTATAAAACACTAAATTCTTTCGCAACATTAAATATGGAACACAAATTTATTGCATTCTTTTATTCATAATATCATTAACATTTGAAAAAAAAAACAACATATTTGTTTATACTCATTGATTTTGTTTTCTGTAGAAATTGATTTATAATTATTCAACTTATTCTGAGCAATAATTAAGAAAATATGAACAATAGAAATTTCACTATGAACGTGAAATATCGATGTTATGTTTGTCGAATACTCGGATAAATATTTATCAGACCAGTTTACATTATATTAATTAGATATTTGAAGAAGTTTAAATTAATCAAAGATAAATGTATAACTGGTGAGAGACCAAGCATGTTTTTGATTTTAATATAATTATGTAAAGTCTACTCAAGAAAGCTCAACATTCCATTGTAAACTATATAGCAATTCATACGATTCGAAGTGAACAAAAACTACCGGTAGACCATTCGGTATAATGTGTGCTATACCATTGGTTAGATAGAAAAAGAATATCCCTGCCTTTGAACTACCTTGCGATATAGAGTCCTCTATAGTGACAGATTCAATAGCGCAATATCTTCTCTATAACTATGTATAGTTCTAACTCTTTATAGAAGGCTAGCTAGAAGCAGAGTTTTTTCATTCAACGTTTTAAACTTCTCACACACTAACTAATCACAAGAACAGGTGCATTCCACAGCGTAGTCAGCATGCTGTTGGAAGGATGATTCGAGATAAATAGTCGTTAGTGACTTATCCAGTGTAATTTCATAGCTGATGACCTGATGTTTACATTCAGTATTTAGTGAATATGTGTCGAACAATATAACAGCTCAATGATTGTGGTATTGATAGTTAACCCACGATAGTTCGGTACTTCAGCGATTGGCTATTCTCAGACTGACAATCTACGGATGATAAATCTGTAATTGTCCGAGCAAATGTTTGATATAGTATTTGGTTATACGAGCCTGAATTCAATAAAACTACCTATTCCGAAAAACACATTCTTCTTCAATAGAATAGCTGATAGAATCTTGTTATATAAACTTGCTTATATTTTTTTTTCTTTTTATTTAGATCAAGTACGAATGAAATATTTTAACTACTTAGAATAAGAACTATTCAATATGGTATGTTATAAAAATATTTGACTTTATTAGCATAGAGTTTTTCGAAAGTAAAACTGAAGTCTTTTTTTCGGCAAGTTTTGAGATATAATCATTTCTATTAGATAATCAAGGAAAAAGTTTAAATAAGTAAATTTTATTATAACAACTTCCATAAGTTTTTTCTTTTAATATTTAAAAATCTTCATTGTTAGGCAGCACTTTCTGATAGTAATCATATCCTATAATATCTATTTCAAAATTCAAATAATTAGCAATTATTGGTTCAGATTAATCATAAGAAAAAATAATATTAAATCTTGTTAAAGTATATTATTCAGTGTTTTCATAATTGAAAGAATCGTTTTAATGAAATGAACATCGAGATCATTATGAACTATCAAAATCAAAACTATTGTATATATATTTGTCAACATAAGAACATGAAATAGCACCATCAATATAAACTCGTAAAATACTTACCATATGCATTAATTTTTTTGTTTTTTAATCAAAGGTATGTTTATAATTCTAATGAGAAACTAGTAAATTTGTCTTTCGAATATTCAATATTTTCAAAGTTCTAAACAAAGCTATTTGAAAACATTTACAAAGATTTCAATAAGAGAGACAAATTTTGCATATTGTTTAACATTATTGTTGACAAGATCTTGATCATCAAAGAAAGCAAAAAAACAAGATTAATGTAATTTATTCGAATAATGATAGAAATAAAGTAACCACCCAAAGAAATGTTCGAAAACCGTAAAGATAGATTGTTAACCTATAAAAATTAAAGCTAATAGAATTATTCTTTTCCAATCAACAGTACTTATCACAGAGAATAATAAACACAATTTTATTATTATAGGTATTCATTGATACTGACAAAGTTTTAAAGATACATATAAGAAATAGCATAAGACAAAATTATATGATTGGAACTTAAATGATCATCGTATCTTATAGTACCATACAAAGTTATTAGATTACATAAGTCGATTTCATAAGGAAGATAAATTTTGTCTCTCTTTTTTTTTTCTTGAATATATATGTCATACATACAACCTATAAAATTCCTCAAAAACATTAACTTTTTGTTTTTTTTTTTAGTTCAAATCAACGATTCACACGAATCGATTGCACTATACGAATGAACAATCAAACTTTTTTGCATAACTTTTTTTTTGTACTAATCGATTTTTTTCATATTAAATGAAAAGTGTTCCAGAATAGCAAAAACAATTGCTACGATTGTTTCCTTAATTGATTTTCTTTTTCTTTTATTTAATTCTCCAGATGTCTGACTATGATGATGATGATCATGACATGGCACCTAATTATGATAAGATGCGTGGTATGGGTTTCATTTGTTGGCGTGAAATATCCGCAACAGATGATGAGGTATACCTACTCAAATTACTTTAAAATAAAATATCTCTATGATTTTCTTTGTTAAGAATCATGAAGATATTCAATTAAATAAGAAGAAAAAAAAGAAAAAGAAAAAACGAAAACTTGATGCAATTGAAACAGAACAAGAAATTGAAACGCCTATTAAAAGTAAAACATAATTTAAATTTTTATCAAATAGTTCAATCTTTAATAAAAAAATATATATCTATATATATATAAATATTTATTTAGAAGTTAAAACAAAGAAAAAGAAACGTTCAAATGAAACTCATATGACATCAACACTTCAAATAACTAATGAAAATAATAAAGATGAAGTTGAAACAACTACAAATAACGATTCTATTGGTAAGAAAAAATATTTCTTTCCATATTGTTTACTAAATATTAAAATAAACATAGAAATAGCTAAAAAAGTTTGGTCGGATCTTTATGTCTCGGAAAATATCATTCGTTCATTATTGGAACAAAAATTTTTTGATCCAACTCCAATACAACGTCTTACTTTACCTACTGCTATCCGTGATCGTTTAGATATTATTGGTGCTGCTGAAACAGTAAATTCATTTCTTTGTTTTTAACTTTAAAAAAAATATATATTCTCTTCTCATAAATTAGGGCAGTGGAAAAACATTAGCTTTTGCTATTCCAATTCTTACTCATATGAGTAAATTATTAGAAAATAATGAAGTAAGTTCAACTTATTATTTCAAATAAATTAATCTCTTGAGAAAGTTTTCCTTTATGCTGTCTCACAATTTACAGAACATTATGACTTAGTCGTTTTGTTTCGCAGGACGATTTTTTCTTTGTATTTTTATCAAGAATATCAAGTTGTTTGTATCTGGGAGTACAATGTTAAATATTATAGATTTATACAAAAATTATTTATAAACCTCATCATATATTTCCCAGTATACATGAAATGAACAATGAAAGAAACACTTGAAATCTATAGGGTGAAGCAAATAATAATAAAACAAACAAAAAGAAAATTTGTCATTTGAATAAATAAATAATATGTTATCAATTTGACTTGGTGATAATCATGTTTGTCTCTGAGTAACTGTCAATCTAGCTGAACTAAATAATCTTTCCATATAGTATTAATACTTTTTAATATAGCATTTAGTCTGCTGATTACTATTGATCATAATGGAAAATCACAACAAACTTTACTAATAGACCAGAACATTTATGAATCACAGTTCATAAAGTAACTTGGGTGCCCTGTGACGTTCTTTGCATAAGATTACTTGTAAAAAAGAAAGAAAACTTTCGAAGTCTTGGTAGAATATATTTATCGACATTGATATCAAAAATATGCCTAAAATGATTTTCGAGTATGATAATCTTGGACGTATAAGTGATTACAGATCTTCTCGTAAGCTGCACCTTTATAACGCGGATGGCAGTGTAGCAGAATGACGTTTTGTGTGCTATTGCAGATCATACGGAGTATGCGAAAATCAATTAGAAGTTAATTCAAAAACACACACACATATATATATATATATATATATACATATATGTGTCCTGTCCTTAACTGATTAATATAATAAAATGATTTTTTTAGATGTCCTATGGACAATTCACAAGTTTGATTCTTACACCAACACGTGAATTAGCTGTTCAAATCAAATCTCATATTCAAACTGCTTGTCGTTATACAAAATTCAAAGTATAAAAAATATCATTCAACCCAAAAAACAAAAATATGTAATCGTTTTTTTTATCTATTTGAAATTAATCTAGACTGCTGTCGTTGTCGGTGGTATGTCAACACAAAAACAAGAACGTTTATTATCACAAAAACCTGAAATCATTGTTGCAACACCTGGTCGATTTTGGGAATTATTACAAGAAGTAAAATATTCTAAAGAAATCCAATTTGTTTTGTTTTGTTTTTTTTCTAATCTAAAATTTTTTTTTAGAATAATGAACATATTATTGATATGTCAAATCTTCGATTTTTAGCAATTGATGAAACTGATCGAATGATTGAAAAAGGACATTTTGAAGAATTAGAAAAAATTCTTAATTTAATCAATAAGTAATATTGATTTTTCTTTGTTTTTGTTCATTTCTTTATCTTTTTAATTAATTTAGGGATGATAATAATCAAATACGACAAAAATTTGTTTTCTCGGCAACACTTATGTTACAATCGAGTATTGATAACGAAAAGAAAAAACAAAAAAATAAAAAGAAAAAAGAAGATAATCAAGATAAACTTGGTTTGTTTACAATTAATTTAATTCTCTCATTTCTTTTTCTTTTTTTATCTTATAATCTTTTAGCTACATTAATTTCCGCTGTTGGTATGAGTGCTAAACCTAAAATAATTGATTTAACAAAAGAATTTGGTACAGCTGAAACATTAACTGAAGCTCGTGTTAATTGTTCATTAGAAGATAAAGTTTGTTTTCTCAAAAAACAAAAACAAAAGAAAAAAAAAAAACTTTTTTTTCCTAGGATTTATATTTATATTATTTTCTAACATTATATCCCGGTCGAACATTAATATTTACAAATAGTATTGATTGTATTAAACGATTACAATCAATTTTAGCTATCTTAAAAAGAAATCCTTTACCATTACACGCACAAATGGAACAAAAACAACGTTTAACGAATTTAGAAAAATTTTCTAGTAAATATTTACACGCTTAAAATTTGATCATTTGATATTAATTTTGAATAAATAGATTCCGATAATGGATTATTAGTTGCTACAGATGTAGCAGCACGTGGTTTAGATATTCCAAATATAAAACATATTATTCATTATCAAGTACCAAGATCAACAGAAGTAAATTATAATTCATTTTAATTAAATTTCCTCTCATTATATTTCCTACTTTAGCCTGTTATAGTTTGCTTCTTCTTTTTTTTCGATAATTGATATATATCAAGATAGTACAAACTTTATTGTATTGCATGAAATCTTAATCATAACTAACACATAACAATCAAACAACAAAAAAATACATCAGAAAAAAAAAAGATAACACTTTCTTTTCAATACAATAAGTATTTCATCTGGAATATAAAACAGTGTACGAAAGTTGAGATGGAAGATTTGTTTTTGCTATTTTTATGATTGAATAATAGTTTCGACATGCATTTCTTAAATGAATACCAAACTAGATTGTCAAATGGTAATATTTATTTAATATATGCAATATCCATTCAGTGTAGATATTGACCTCTTTGATGTACTCTACCAGTTAAACTACTGACGAGAAAAGATCTCCAAGTGGTAAATTGTTTTCGAACTAGAACTATATTATATCGATAGGGTCTAGTGAATGACTGTAAATATCCTAGAGTTGTTGAAACTTTTGAATTTTTATTTCTGAAGTTTCGAATGTTTCATGACGTTTCCCTGTAGGGTTCTAGTTTTTTTAAGCAAAAGCATACGTTTGAATTTCGGTCCAAAATTTTACTCAAATAAAGATGCCAATAAGACTAAGTTCTAGAAAAAAGTTTCAGAATTTTTCTACAAACTAGTCTAATCAGTCATTTTATATAGGTAAAAATTTTAGGTTGAAATTTCAAAATATCACTTTGCTTGAAAACTAGGATTCTACAGAAAAAACCTACTAACAATTTGATATCTTAGTAGCAAAGATCCAGTAGTTCGAATCACACAGAAATAATTACTTACTTATTACACTCGATCGATTGAATATAGTTTCAATTTAAAAACAATTTATCTCTTCGAAACCTTCTCTTGTTGATCTCAATAAGAACCAACTTATGTCCATGAGTATGTACAAAAACAATGGAAAGATGAAAATTCGATTTACTCTTACTGCAGTTTGTAGTGTAAAAAAAACAATATCATCTTTTTTTCTGATGTATTCTCGTTGTTTGATTTTCATTTGTTATTAATGATAAATCTATCATGGGATGCAGTGAAATCTGTACTTTTTCATTCTACATCTATAATCTAAAACAAAAGAAGTAAACTATAATAGTTTAAAGTAGAAAGTTCAATGGGAGAAAATTGAATTGCAATGCATTGTATATCGACATTTGTTTTATTTTTTTAATAGCTTTACATTCATCGTAGTGGTCGAACAGCTCGTGCTGAACGTGAAGGTTTGAGTGTAATGTTCATTTGTCCAGAAGAATTATTTCTCTATCGAAAAATTATTAAAACACTCAATCGAAGTAAACAATTTCAAAATTTTTTTTTTTTTATTTTTTCTCTTTCTCTCTCTCTCTCCTTAGATGAAGATCTTCAAACATTTCCGATTGATATAACATATTTATCAAATTTAAAAAGACGTGTTCGTCTTGCATCTGAAATATCTAAACTACATCATCAAGTTGCTAAAGTTGCAAATGAAACAAATTGGTATCATAAAGCAGCTAAAGAATTAGATATTGAATTAGATGATAACATTCGGTAACGAGAAAATTTCAATATCTTTTTTTTATTTTATAAAATTTGAATAAATTATAGAGATATTGAAAAAGCTAAAACAGCAAATACAAAAGATATACAAAAAAAAGAAATTCAATTACGTAATGAACTTGATCTCTTATTAAAACAACCATTAAAATATTCATCATCATTGAATATAAGTCGTTCATATCCACTTCTATTTGGTGATCCTGATCAATTAGCATCAAGACGAAGTAAGAGAGAAAATTTTTTTATTTGATTGATTGATTCATACTTTTCTCTTTTTTATTTCTTCCTTTCTTTCGTTTAGAAAATGATATGACTGCATTAGATGAATTGAAACATCGATCATAAAACATGTCATTTTTTTTTTTGTTTTTTCTTTTTACTGAATAAAAAAAAAATGTCACATACTTCTGATGATGGATGACTGAACACCACAGGATGTCATGTAGTTGTATTGTTTGTCTCAAGCACTCGAAAACACAGTAGGCTATCTGAGCACTGTCCACTTGAGCTCATTACTACCTGCAGGCAATAGAGACAAATCCGTTTTCTTTCCATTGAATAACGTAATAAACTATATATTTATTTAATTTGTTTGAAACACAAAAAAAAAAATAGAAAAAAAAATGTTTGTTTATGAGTATTTTTTTTTGTTTCTTATTGTAATGGTTTTGATACACCACATAATGCATGAAGTTGATAACGAAGTGCTTGATTTTCCATTGATAAACGTTTATTTTCTTGTTCTAAACATATTAAATGTTGTTGTGTTTGTTGTTCTTTAATACGACGTGCATCACGTGAACGTTTAGCTGATTCATTATTACGTGCTCGTTTTTCATAATAAGCCGTATCTTTTTGTTCAGGTGGTACAGCACGGGCACGTTTTTTAAATGGTAATGATGGACATAATTCATTTTGTGTATAATCTTGTTTCATATGCAGAATTTTTTGACCATTTGTCGTTGATGTTATATCGCCTAAAATAGATGTTGATGGTGATGGTGATGTTTGACTATCATCATTATTATTATTTTCATCATCATCAATATCACTGCGTGGTCGTTTAAGATTATTTGAATGAAATGATAAATCAAGACCAGTACTATAACCACTATAGGATAATAAATGTGCTGAACTATTATTTGATGATGGACTACTTGTTGATGTATTTGTACCAATTGAATCATTTAAATAATGATGTGGATGATGAAGTGACATTCCATAATCAGATTTTCGTTGTGTTGTTGGTGCATAAGATAAAAATGATGGATAACCGGTTGGATGATGAGAATAAGCAGTAGCTGTGTGCATGATTGGTGATTAAACTAAAAAATAGAAAAAATCTACATTGAAGAGGAAAGTTTTTTGTTTTTGAGAAACTCTTGTTTGTTTTTGAAAATAAGTTTACCACCCCTTGTTATTTGACATCGATGAATTGAATACATAGATAAATATAATATGATTTGTACTTACATTATATTTGTTTCTTTCGTTTACTTACGAAACAAATAATCTACAAGCTTTTTTTTTGTATCTTACGTCAGACGTTGACTTAGAATTATGTGATTTTTGTTATTGTTGTCTTGTTGTTGCTCAATGTGCGCGTGCTTGAACAATTGTGTTGCGTTAAACTTAAGAGTTTTGCTGATATCAATTGTTAGCGAAAGAGAGAGAGGGAGAGAGAGAAAGAAAAAAAAAACAATTCTCTCTATATCCAACTCTTTCGCTCTCTCTCTCGTTCCACCTTGACCTTGAGATTACGTGTTTATCGTCTCGCCGCCGCCCGTTTTTTTCTTTTCGATTACGAAATTCAACCAACCCGATATCGTTAAACATTGACATCATTTCTTTAAAGAAATCGATTGGTTTACTTGCGTCATTTCTTGACCGTTGTTCAAGAGAGAGAGTTATCTCGGATTAACTATCGGTCATTGGATAAGACAAATGTTCTTGTCTTCATGACAACTTTTCGTATTAAGCGAAAAAAAAAAGAACCTACTGATCAATTAGTTGTCAAAAATGGCACTTCATTGATCAATTGTCAAAAAAGACAAAGAAGTTGAACTTATCGAACAATTAGATACGATATATAGAGAAAAAAAAAACAAATCAAAAACTAATCATTTTCATGTAACAAATATAATACAGGAAATCATTATGTGAAATATTATTTTGTCTTGTATTTGCTAAATTCAAATAGAAAATTTTTCTTGCATATCACATCCGATAGAAAAAAACAACCAAATAGTTTGATCTGTATGAAACAAATTGATTACATAAGTAACAAAACTAACCGACAAAGATGTGAATTAAGCGTAAATAGTGAATTGCAGCGATTGAGCTGTTGTCACTGTATTTCACACATTGAATTTTCTTTTTCTTTTTTTTTTATCGTCTTCGTCCCAGATGGGATTCCCAATTATCGATTGAGTAATCTTTCGTGTACAATTTACACACGCTTGTTCAGTCTCGGTTATCAATAAGTATGTATATGTTTTTCTCGCGTATTTATGTGTCTAACCGAAAAAACGATTTGATGCAAAAGACTTGTGTATGCAATTAGCCAGTAGGACAGACAAGCTTTAAAAAAGTCATTTAAGATAATGCATGAGTTGAGTTAAATGTGTGTGTGTGTATGTGTGTGACAATAAAAATTTATTTCTTCATGTTATAGAATAATCAAAAAGCAATTGTCGAATGCCTTGGAGAATAAGGTTTATTTTATTCGTGCTCATTTGCCAGTTGTCGTAATAACATATGTAAGAGCTTAGTGACGTGTAGATTGAAATGTGAAATTATCCCTGAGGATAAAGATTTGAAGGCAAAAATAAAAAAAAAAAAAAGAAACGTAAATTTAAATTTTAAATTAATCTTATTTTTCCGGATAATTTAGAGATATAAAATATCTTTTTTTTTTCTTTTGAAATTTTGTTTCCTTCGTTCCTCATCCTTTAGGATTGACAAGTGTGTGTGTGTTCTTTTTTTTTTATTTTCTTGTTCAAACGCGCCAAATTGCGTTGGTCGAATGATCAGAGACGTACATTGACATATCAATCACGCTAATACGCCTTTCGCTGGTCACACTTAACCAACCATTATTCTCTTTTTTCCTCTTAGCTGACCGTTCGAAACGTTTCCTCATTACGTTTCGTTGCACACATACACACATGAACCAAAGCATAAATTCGGTCAAGTATGTGTGTATGAAGCCAACAAAAAAAAAGTTCATCTCCCTCTGGAGATCATTAGGAAAGCTTAACTTCTAAATATTATGATTTAAATCAAAAGCAAAACACATCAAACTGTTTTTTTTTTGCGTCAGTCTAATTGATATTTTCAATCGATAAGTATTCACAGCAGGAGCTGTCGATCATCATAGACCAAGAATTCCCTAATCTCGTCGTCAAAACCAGACATATATAATATATACACACACACACAAACACACGCAAACTGAAGGACAATCAACAGAAACAAAAAAAAAAAGGTTTATTTCCACTTGATGATACCGCTTTTCATCTGTAGTTCATTTTGATTTTATTACAATTTCATAAACTTGAACGAGATATGCAAATGAATAAAAACAAAAGAAAAAAAATTTCCCATCAATACAATCAAATATTTGCTAAAATCAATGCCTAAAGCAATATAATAATACATGAATTTCATCAATATCTAATTGCAATGTTAATGATCATTTATTGTGATTAGTTTGACAGAATATGTAAAAAAGAAAACAAAACAAATTCGTAGTTCGTGTGATAAGCATTTGGTGTCAACTAAGATAGGAAATGACAAGCATATGGACAGTAATTGAAGCGTAGATAGTTTTTATGTAATATGTGAAAAGAAAAATAAATAGTCGAACATATTTTTGAGTCATGCAGAGAGTCTCATCAGTAATGAAAATAGACAATATGAAGGTTGAATGAGTTTTTTTTTTCTTTCTTTTTCTTCTATTCAATGTTTAGAAAAAAGCTTAGAAAATCTGATCTCTTCACACGCTGTTTTCTCAAGGTCAATACACTTTTAACGATGTGATCGAATTGCGTTTTTTCTCTTATTCATTCATTTCCTGTTAATGCTTCTTTTTCGTCTTCGTTTACTTGAGTCAACAGCACGCAATGTCCACACACATATACACATACAAAAAAAAATGGAATGATCAAATAAATATGTATATATGAAGCGACGTTTTAATGATTTCGATCACGCTCATACCTCCTTTCCAATTTGTAAAATGAGATTTTCCTTCTTCTTCTTCTTCTTTTTTTTTTCATAACAAGTGCGAATAGTTTTACTCTTCTGTCTATTATCGAAAGATCTGATCAATGGATGATGACTCGTTTTTCAAAACTTGACAGGCTATTTTTAATTGAACTAAACTAAAGAAAAAAAATATATGTATGTGTCTGCTCGTGCGCGCCCATGAGCACAAAACTGTAATTGAAATAAAAAGATCAAACATAGACACGACAGGGCTTCAGGTGATGACAGGAAGAGAGCGATCATGGGTTTGTCACCTTACATCAGTCATTGCCGACTACATTCATCATTGGAGATAGTCAATCTTTCTTTTTCTCGATCTACTCTATAACATTAACACTTGTTCTCAAAATTTCGATTAAGAAAAAGAATTATATGTATGTGCGTGTATGCATATTGATGGAATGTTCAGCTTGCTATGTTAATATATGCACATGCAAATTGCTTGACCAATAATAATAATAACAATAATAACAAGCTAGAAGATATCTATAAGAGACATCATCAACAAGCAACGAACGAATATAAATAAAGCTCATCATCTATCATGCTGTGAGTTGTACAAAAGTCAATAGCTTGCTTTGCACTTTGAAATCACTTGAGATATTTTATCAGTGAAATATTTCTTCAATCTATTTATGAAATAAACAATCTTTTTTTTTTGAACTTATTATTATTATTTTATATTTTACTACAATCTATCTTCGTTTTGATCTAGAAGTTTCAATTATTGGTGTTGAAAATTAATTTTGTTTGTGTAATCTTATGAGTTTAGTCTAAGAATTAATATTTTGAACAGAGGAAGAAAAATCTAAAAAAATGATTTGCTGTTAAAAAATGAACTGTTTTTAGACTCTTAATTATAAGCAGTCTTTTATTGAATTTTTAAAACAATGATTCAATATTAATTCATATATTCATCTTCATTGATACAATCGAAAAGATTTGATTAAAATTAAATTTCGAACTTCAGATGCGATTTTTTTTAAAGAGATATTTAAAATAAATTTCTTATATCGAATTATTTAGTGGAGAAGAAGAAGGAACGAATGATTTTCAGTTTTTTTTTTCATTTACATTTTTTTTCTCGGTCGATATTCGATTATAAATAGGATTCAACTTAATGCTTCCTATTATGATATTTCTACTTATTATCAAAAATGCATTATAAAAATGTTATATTGATTGTAACTATTTTTTTTCTTTAATAAAATTTTATTTTTGATTTTCAAACATGTATATAATAAATTAAATAAAAAGCTATGAACTGAACCTATCATAAAATGTTTCTTAAAAAAAAAAACAATTTATGCAATTAAAAAGCTTTTAGTAAAAAAAAAAAAAGTTTCGTAAAGTAGTTTGTTAATAAATATCTGCTTTTTATTCTAATTTGAATACATTTGTTTGAAGTTTTTTTTTTGGCTATACTTCTGTTTCTTTTTGTGAAATACTTATGAAACGAATTAAACTTTTTTGCTTGCCTAAATTATTATGAATTATATATTTTTGATTAGTTGTGGAAAGTTATCCTATTTTAGAAAAATCGGACATTAATGACTTTTAATTACTACAAGATTAGATCGATTTATCATATAAAAATAAGGTCGTAATTAAGAGAAGACGTAAAGTAATTTTGTGACTTGATAATTGTAAAATAATGTTCTTTTTTTTTTTTTTTTGATAAATTCTTAATCAACACCAAGGTGTGCATCAACAAAAACAAAACAGGAATAATATGAATTTTTATCACTATTGATAAGAATAATTTCCTTAAATATATATAAACTCATATGATTGAGAAAGAGAACAACTTGCAACAGTTATAAGTTTATTTGCAAATCATAAAATTCATTTCGTTGTTTTAGGTGAATTTCTCATTTGTAATATTAATCTTTGCGGCTAGGGCAAAGCAATATTTATGCGGATCAAAGAAATTTGATTTGTTGATTTGAACCATTGACGTTAGCTTAAAATTAAATACAATATAGAATTCATAGAATAGAATGATTCAATGAGATGTGTTGTTTTGAATTCAAATTAACTAA